GATGGCTGTTAGTTGGATGATCTTCGGGGATGTCTACCTTAAAGATGCATGAGTGGTGTTTGGTCTAAAAAAATAATAAAGTTTTTTAAAATTTTTAAAAAAATGAACAAGAAAACATATAGACATGATATCAAAATAATTTCCTTGTTAATTTCTGTTTGTTTAAAAAATTGCTTTGTCATGTTCATTTATTCAGATGTTAAACGAACATAAATAAACGAATGTAAACGAATGGATGTAAACTCAAAACCATTATGATCCCTGTCTCCCAAGTTTACCATTTATGCCTTTTTGTAGCCACCGTCGCCAAAACCATTATGATCCGTGTCTCCTCTTATTTTAATTTTGTAGCCTATTTTTATTTTGATTTGTATACTTGGAAACCGACGTCCCTTTTTCCAAATTGACCATTATATATGTACGTATGTATAAAGTATATAAATAACAAAATTATTTAAACATTGAAGGCAAAAGTTAAATGAAAAAAATATGTAGACATGATACCAACACCACATCGAAAAACAACGCGTATCAAAATCGGTTAAAAATCATATATGTAATTTAAGTTGGTAAGACGATCATAAAATAACAGTCACGAACTGTAATTTTAAATAGCATTTTTCTAATCTATGCCTATTATTTTATTTATGACCATGATGCTTGTTTAGATACAGTAGAACTAGGGATGAGCAAAGGAACCGGTCCGAACCGGAACTGACACGGGAACCGAAGTTAGTGGAAACTAGAAACTGAATCGGACCACCAGTTCTGCCGATTCTGGTTCCTACCGGTTCTTGTTGTGTCTTCAATGTTAGAACCGATCCTCGAGAAATAGCAACATAAGGTTTCGGTTTTTACCGTTTCTACCGGTTCCCAATTCCATAAATCCACAAGAATATCGTCCCGGTCCCGACCCGCCGGTTCCATCGAGTTTCGGTTCCGGCCGGTTCCCCGATTCATATGCTCATCCCTAACTAGAACCTTAAACAAAAGGGACTTCTATTTGTGTATGGTTCTTCATTTGGATGGTAATGGTCATTTATTTTTGTTCATGTCTAGATGTTTTTTTTTATATAATTTTTTATTTAAAATTTTAAATAATTTTGTTATTTATTTAGATTATATATATATATATATATATATATATAATCAAAATTAAAATAATACAAAAAATAAAAATAAGGTAAAAATTAAAGGTTGGATAAAAAATAAGGACGTGGGTTTCAAGTATACAAATCAAATAAAAAATAGGTTACAAAATTAAATACAAATCAAATAGGTTACAAAATTAAAATAGGGAGAGAAACCATGTTAAGGAATCACTCCGTTTTTTGCGAAGGTGATATAAAAGGTTATAAAAGAAAAATTACAAACATAAAACATATTAAGTGGATGAATATATCAGCGCCCATATTAAAAAGATAAAAGATAGATAGGTATCATCATTTATAAAAAGCCATCATAAAAAAACGTTATATCAAATAATTAGTACGATATTTTATAACCCTTTCATTTGTATAGAAGTTCAATTTTATACCTTTGGTTTTAGAACTTTTATTTTTAGATAATTGTTATTTGTTAGTATTAACTTTATTTATTAGAAGTATATAAAAAGTGTATTATAACTAAGAAACTATATTATGGATGAAGTCTCGTAAATATATCGTGAAGATGATATCAATACTTATCATCCTAGGCCTATTTAATTTAGTTTTAGTTTATTATAGAGAGAAAGTGATACTTTATAGTATTGGAAGGATGTTATTTATAACTTTTTATATATTATAAGGAGCTGAATTTAAAATTTATAAGATCAATAATAGTATGGGTCCTATTTTATATTTTAATCATGATGTCTCATCATCGGTCCTTACCAACTCCAACATTATATTGACCGATCTCTATTTAACATTAATTTGTGGCCTTTCCTTTTAGCTCTCGTCTTTACTCGATCATCACAAACATTATGTCGTCTTCATCTTCCTACAAACAGTTTGCTCACTTACGAATCCCACTTGAAGAGATAGTCTCCGGCACCACCAATTTTTCTGATGCAAATCTCATTAGAGAAAGTGCATTTGGAAAGGCTTACAAAGGACACCTCTTTCGGTCGGAACAACAGATTGATATTGTTGCAGAAAGGTTAGATCGTAAGCATGGATACGGAGACGTCGAGTTCTGGAAGGAGATTTCGATGCTTTCTAGTCTCAAGCATGAAAACCTGGTCTCTATTATTGGGTTCTGTGAAGAGAAAGATGAGAAGATCATCATATACAAGGATAAGGTCAACGGAAGTCTCGACAAACTTCTTAGAGACCCGACCTTCACATGGATGCGGAGATTGCAGATATGTGTTGGTGTTGCGCACGCTTTGAGTTACATTCATTATGATAAGCGACGCGATTTTAGCGTCATACATCGTGATATCAGGAGCTCAAAGATCTTACTAGATGACCACTGGGAAGCGAAGTTATCTGGTTTTGAACTTTCCATCAGTCAGAAAGCAGCTCGGAGAAACCGACTTTGCCTTATTGATGTTCGTGGCATGCGTGGGTATTGTGACCCAACGTATGTCAAGAGTGGAAGTGTGACCCACAAGTCGGATATGTATTACTTTGGTGTATTGTTATTTGAAGTATTGTTCGGAAAGAAGGCAGTGATGGTTAACGAGGTTAATAGGTTGCTAGCCCCGTTGGCGATATCTCATTATGAAGGTGGAAGATTAGATGATATGATCGATCCGGTTCTATGGAAACAGATGGATCCACAATCATTCAAGATCTTTTCAGAAATAGCATATTACTGCTTGAAGAAACAACGATCACAGCGTCCAAACATAGATCAGATTGTTATGAAACTTGAGAAAGCATTGGAGTCTCAACAGAAACATGAAAATCCTGTAAGACCAATCCATTGATTTCCATTTTCCATTCAATTTTCTATCATAATATATAGCCAATGTATTTATTAATTTATTTTCCATTGTTGCAATTGGCATTAAAGGCTTACTCGACGGTTGAAGGCATAGCCTCCAAAACCTTGAAGGTAAATATTCATGATTTCTTTTGGTTTGAGGTGTGGTGATCCAGGTTAGATAAACTACAACTAATTTATATGGATCGGTTCTAAAAAAAAAGAAATTTTTTTACGAACTCTTTAATGATCTAATGGTGCAATTTTTCAAGAGTGATTTACTTTGAATATCCTATGTTTCAATTCAATTCAGTATACAGCTTTGAACGACCGTGCAATCCATTAAAAATAACATATTTAACATAAATCATTAATATATATATATATATATATATATATATAATATATATATATATATATATATATATATATATATATATTCTGCCAGTTTAAAATACTTTTATGTTGACATTTGAAAATATGGCAATTGGACAACTTGACAATTGAAAGGGCTTACTTGCTGTATTTATTATTTCAATTGGATACTATTTTAATATATTTTTTTAATATAAAAATAAAAAGCGAAAAATTGACAAACACCTCGAGAGGTACCACTGACCTTTTATAGTGCTCAATAATACAAGGGAGCACGTTTATCTAATGGTCTTTTATTATTATTATTATTATTATTATTATTATTATTATTTTTAAACGGCTTAATGCTCTTTTATTTGGTTCATATTGTAGTAATTATTTGATATTATTCAATTTTTAGACCAAATCCGACCGGCCACTAAAACAGATTAATAAAGTCTTTGCTAGAAAAATGATTTAGGAGGGTAATCATCTTTATTGTTTTGTTTATATTTATGCAACTTTTTTATTTTTGTACATATTTGACCATTTAATTTGTTAAATGTGTTCACATATTATTATTGTCACTGGTTATCACAGGTAACAATGATAACATGTGAAGAAATTTAAAAGTTAAATGATTAAATGTGTACAAAAAAACAGAAATTGGCTAAATATGAACAAAACAAAAAGTTATTTACCCTGATAAGTTATTTTCATATTTGTTTGTATTATTTTTCCAAACGTTATTTTTAAAGTATCTATAATGACTTATTATTTTTCCCATTTATAGTCTTTTGATTTGATAAATCAATTTTCCACTAATTTATTTTTAGCAAAACTTATTATCATAAATATTGATTAAATATTGATAAATTCTGAATTTTACTTTTTAACTAATAAATATGTTTTTTTTGTGAAATATTTTATATAGCCTCTTATTTTTTTTCTTTTGTTTTTAAAAAATATGGTGGGTCTTTTAAAAAAAAATAAAAAGAAAATATTGCGTAGCAAATAAGAAAATAAAAAATCTATATAATGTAAATGTTTTAAAATTATTAAAACTTATTTATACTTTTGAATTAGAAGTTTATAATTTTTTTAATTTTTTAATACAACATTCTAATCTAGTATTTAAAGAAAGTTTAGAAATAATTGTATGAAAGTTATAAAAAATTATATATAATTGTAAGAAAATTTATAATCATTTTGGAAAATATTTGGTTTAAAAGAACTTATATGAAAATTATATGAAAGTATAAAAAAATTTAAAAAAGTAAAATTATCAGAAAAATTTAAAACATTGTATTAGAAAACCGATAAGAAAAAAAAATATCATAAAAATGTTGTAAGAAATAATAAAAAATCTTAAGAAATTTATAAAATAAATTGTTTACATTTAGACAACTTTTTTTTTGTACAAATTTGACTATTTAACTTGTTAAATGTGTTCACATATTACCATTGACATCTGAGATATCAGGTGACAATGATAATATGTTAACACATTTAACAAGTTAAATGGTCAAATATATAAAAAAAATTGTCTAAACATGAACGATAAGATAATTACCTCACGAATCATTTTCCCATTTTTGCTCGCCGCTATTATTGTGCATAAAATTTGGCCGCTATATTTGGCGATGATCATTGTCCAACACCAAATTAAATTGCTTTTTCATTATGTGGTAATATTAAATTCACTAGAATTGCTTTAAGATTATCACATATAATGAAATTGTTTTTTTAATATAATATTATTAAAATAATTTTTTAATGTAAAATTATAGTTAGTCTTTGGAGTGAAAACTTTATTTTTGTGTTAAAAAGCCACTATTTTAGTGTTTTTTAGTGCTCCATGGTTGCAGTTGGCTTTTAAAAAAAGATAATAATTAATGTTTATTATTTATATTATTAAATATTATTGATATTATTGAATATTAGACAAAGTTAGATAAATGGTCTATATAGTTTACCAAAAGTCATAAATTCGGTCTCTACTAAGTATAAATGGTCCTTGCGGTTTGCAAAATTTGCATGGTTTGCAAAACTTGCATGGAAGGTCCTTTTTACTCACGTCGTCTATTTTCCGCCGTTAAGGCCTAGAATGTGAGGGTAATTTGGTCTTTTCAGGTATAACAGAGACTAAATTCGCGACATTTGGTAAACTACAAGGACCATTTTTGTAATTTGTCTTAAAAGGCAAGTCACCACACCCGTGATATTTCCAAAATATGGTAGCGTTACCACGACCCACTACCCTCTCGAAAGATTGTAAAGAGAAACTCCAAGATTTTGGACTTTCTCATTTATTTTTAAGATTGTTTAACCAAAGTCCACAAATGTGTTTTTAGTAATAGGATTTCCATCTACTATAAGAAGGTTGTGGATAACTTTAACATATTTACACCAAATATCGGTGTTACTAGTTTTTAACTTCCACCGCCACTTCACAAGCAGTGATAAATTAAGAGAGTTCAAACAACCCACACCACTATTGCATCTCTTTTCAAGGCAAGTGACCAAACTCCATGACACACAATTTTTTTTTCATTATTTCAACCCCAAAGAAAATGCCTTCTAATACTATCAAGAAAAATAATAACTTTTTACAGGGTCTAAATAAGAAAAAGTAATATAAAGGAAGGCTAAAAGACCGAATTCACAAGAGTAAGTCTTCCCCCAAAAAAGAAGTTCCTAGCAAGACGAGCAAACTCTTAATCTACCATACAAACTCTATAAACTTCACTTTTATGAATATCTACCTTCAATCCAGAAGAAAGAAACACCTAAGAAGCCCTTTTAGATTTATAAAATTTAGCTTGGATCACTCCCCCATGAATAAGACGTCATCGATATAAATCAAGTGAAATAAAGTCGGGCCATCATTAGGAAGAGAGACACCATAAAATTGAAGATCAGTTGTCTCCAGAACAACATGAAGTCCTTTCATTGTGATAATGAATAAGAAAGATGAAAGCGGATTGCCTTGCCTCACTCCTCTATTACTATCAACTTTTCTTATTATTAACGTTGCCCCACTCCACTTCTTATTGTCAACGTTTCTTATTACTATCTTACATATTCTTGTTTTACCCTTCCATATAATCGATTTTTCTTATACATTTCATAAGATTCTTTTGGTTGATATTTCCCAAAATTGGTGGGATGTCAAGTCCACCAAGCAAATTACACCATTTGTTTGCAAATAAAACGTAATATAATGGTAAAAGGGGTATCGATCCTCGGGGAAATGGTTGTATTCAGTCCCCTGCAATCCAATAGAACTAGTGAAAATAAACTAACTAACTACAATTAAACTAAAAGGGGGGGGGGTGTTATGATTGCTTGAAAACTAAAAGACTTGAATAACTAAAAACTTGCAATTAAGCAAGAAAGTGAGATGCTCAGATATTGGAGAGAATTGGTAAACCAAGGCAATTCAACACAATGAACATTTGTGTGTTTATCATTAGGATTTAACATGAAGCTTATCCAAATTGGTTATAACAATCATGAAACATGATATGCCAAGATTTCTCATAGGTAGTATGGAGGTTGGGGAAGCCCACAACACACCTTCTTAATCAAAATCAAAGATCCAATTGAAGCAATTGAACCCAAGAAGTTGATTAGCCTTAAGAATGAAGAAATCCCCAATTCCTAGAGGATGTCAATGCTTACACATCCATAAAGGAGTTATGATTCATAAGCTAGAGATGATTTCTACCATCATAAAGCCCTTGTTCTAAGTAAATTCAATGATTCAATGTCAAACCAAAGAAATAAACCAACAATTGCTTATTAAAGTATCAAGCTCATGATCAAAGCACTAAAAAAGCATAGGAAATATGAACTAGAATCATATACATAAGATAAATGATAAATAAGCATAAATCCTTCAAAAACCCACAAACATTCAGAGGTTTTAGCCAAGGTCTACCAAAATAGAGAGTTTAGCCACTCATGGCAATAGAACAACAATCACAAAAGTCTAATTGCATAAATAAACTACCAATAACTTGGAAAGATGAAAAGAAATGAGTCTTGAGCTTCAAAATCGCCTTCTTCAGCTCTCCAATGGTGTCAAATCGAAGTTATGGCTGCTAGATCTGATCCCCCAAGGTTATGGTGTGCCAAATGACCAAAATGCCCAAACTGGGCAGTTGCGCGGGTACCCGCGCGACGAAAATTCCACCCGCGCAAATGTTGTTGTAATGCTATTGGTCCTTCATTCCTCCACTCCACCCTTCCACTACCAAAGATTCCTTTAGTCCCCTCCATATCCATATGATTTAAACCAACCAATCATCATTTAGCTTCAAAAATGGATGCTCCAAGCCCAAATTAACAATCCATGATCCATTTTTCACAAGCCCACTTCATCCAAGCCTTTATCTTTTTAAGCCCAAATCTTCTTTGGTGGATCCGCCAAGCCCAATAATGCATCGGAAACCCCATTAAGCCCAACTCCAGTCAAACCACAACCGCAATGAGCTCCAAAACCCTGCAAAATTCCTCATGCAAAATAAAAAGTCCCCGATACGATCCATGATAAAGAAAATAAAGAATATACAATGCAATACTAATAAAAAGAGCTAAAAATCTAAAATAAACTAATAAAAATAAGGAAATAAAATAAGCTATCAAAAATCTTAGCAGAGTTCTTTGTCGATTTCATATATCCTTATGTCATAAGATTCTTTTGGTTGATATTTCCCAAAAACTTAGCAGAGTTCTTCGTCGATTTCATATATCCTTATGTGTCGAACACCCGCTAATAGTACTTCCATAAAAGTTATATGCATATTGCTTTTGTAGGTTTTCTCTTGCAACACCACATATGTGCTGAACACCCCCTAAGACTACACACTTCACCATGTCAAAATCTACCAACTAATCTATCTTCTTGCATGCCCGTGAAGTTGATGACTCCAAGGTGTCGTTTGGTTCGCTAGAATCCATTGGAATTAGAAGGAATTGGAATCTAATTCCATCACTTTCCTTTGTTTGGTTCAAGCTTTCAAAAGGAATTGGATTCCTAAATGAGTCAGATTTTCCTTCCAATGAGGGAAAATAAATTACATCCAAAAACTTAAGGAATTAAAATTCCTTTCAAGCGAGAATATTGAATGTTACCATATTACCCATTTTACTTTTAACACTACATATGAAACCTTTATGTCGCCACCACTACCACCCATCACCACCGCTACACACCACCACCACCGCCACCCACCATCACCTCCACCGCCACCCACCATCACCAGCACTGGTAACTCCGCTACCACCACCCTCCACCCACTAGCACCGTCACCTCCACCATCATCGATCACTACCACCGCTATCACCACCTCCGTCACAACCACCGCCACCTCCACCACCACATATCACTGCCGTCACCACCCGATACACACCACCTCTACCACCACCCACCACCCACCACCACCACCTATACCACCACACTACCTTCTACCTCCACCACCACTCGCCACCACGACCATACAATTACTGCCACCACCACCGCCACCACCACCAACACCATCGCCACCACCTTCATCACCACCACCGTTACTACCACCATTGCCACCTCCACCACTACTCATGACCGCCACCATCACATCATCACATCACATACTACCTACCGCCACCATCGTCACACCTCCGCACTACCCACCATCACCTCTATCGCCATCATCACCACTATTGCCACCGTCAACTTTACTGCCACCATCACCATCATTTACTAATTTTATAATTTATATAATATACTTTTACATATAAGTTATAAAAAAAAGTAAAAATAAGCAAAAAAACAAAAAAGGCAATTTTGTCATTTCATATTATTTCAGTTCTATTTTCTGTCAACCAAACATAATATGGAATTGGATTCAAATTTCATTCATGCCAACCAAACAGAATACAGAATTTGATTGCAATTCCTAGCAGATTCCAATTCCTTAACAGATTCTAATTCCTTCAATAACATTCTGCAAACCAAACGCCGCCTAAGATTTTAACTTTAGATTTGAGCATTGGTGATGCCTCACGTGCACCAGCCACCTCCATTTTGCATATTATCAATCTGATTATATATTATTTAGCTACTGAATCAAGACAAGGAGCTCGACATCCACTTGATCACACAACTTTCTCATGTTTCCTGGAACATCTCTTGCATACCATGTATCTCTCAAAGTAATGTTAGGATTAATGATCGATAAATCACACAAACACATAATTAAAAATATTGGGGAAAATAAAAAACACAAAAGTGATGTCAAATACAAACACAAGAGTGATCGGCTAATCCACGATGAACTAGAGAGATTTTATTAATAACCGTCAAACACAATTTTTATATAGGCTTACATTTGTACATAGGTGACTAATAATAACAACTTGTGACCAAAAATAGCTTGTGTGCCATAAAATTGCTTGTGGAATTGATCCATAAACCTATTACGTAACCAATTGGTCGTGCAATGTAGCCTATACCACAACTTTTGGATCATGACATCGAAATGATATACCAACTACCCTCGAAAGTTTTATTCCTATGGAGCTATCCATGGTTCATGTAGGAGGGCGGTTCTTATGCTTAGGTGGTGTTTTTTAGAAGCACTTATTGAGCTATATTGTTTACATGTTGTCAGACCATTTTGCTAAAGATTGTTTTTCAAAAGATCAAGATATAAAAAGGTATGTATGTCCTATTCTTGTAGAAGAAATGAAAAAAGTCTTCAAAATCCCGTAACCTTCTAAGTCTAAGAAAACCAATTTTATTTTTCACGCTTTATTCTTCGACGATTTTCTTCCACCTCTCTCTCTCTCTCCTCTCTCTCTCTCTCTCCCTCTCTCTCTCCTCTCTCTCTCTCTCTCTCTCTCTCTCTCTCTCTCTCTCCAATGTATTTGCTTTAAGTATCTAAAAGGCCAGATAGTACCTTAGTACCTTGGTAAACATGTCTACTAGATTCTTTCTACCAAATATCTTCTTCAAGTTGATAGTAGCATCCTTATCATTTCTCTTCAAGTTCGGGGTACCATCACTTATCAATCCTCTGATAAAGTGGTATTGCATCTAGATATGTTTTCTTATGTTGTGATACGATGGATTATTCTCGAGGTGAACATCACCTTTGGATATGTTTTCTTATCATTAGTCCAAACTTACTTGTCCAAACTCACAAAAGTAAAATCCTACCAAGCTTGTTGAAAGAACACTTCTTGTATACTTAGACATTTGTGGATTTTGTCCCTATCCCTCTCAATATTCGATGTAGATCCTTGAATTTTTTTTCCGCAAAACGCCCATCAAAGTCTCCACTTTGGTGAACCATTTTGTCGCTAATATCCAATGTAGATCCTTGAATATTTTTTACTCGAAACGCCCATCAAAGTCTCCACTTTGGTGAACCATTTTGTCTAATGTTCCCTGCAAACCCATTAGATTTTCCCTAATTCTTGTTTGCTTTTAGTGCGTCTCTTCTCATCATTGGTTCTCCTCATCCACTACAACACCAATACCACCATTAGCTTTTTCCTACTTGCTTTATTCCTTCACTTTGATATGCTTTGCTACCACTTGTCACAAACTTGATCCTTCAAGATCTTCATGTGAAATTTAGTCACACGAAAGTCGATCAATCATGGATCACAAGCACTAAACATATGAAAGAGTTTTATGTAGTTGAATGCTTAAATTGCCTTTAATATCTTAAAGGAACTTGTACTTGAATGCATGGTGCGTTACAAATGAAAAGGAGAAAATTATTTGTACTTAATACTTCCCAAAAAAACAAAAAAACTAAAAACTAAATAGACATGCTTCTCAAAGGTGACCATTCAACATCCTTCAAAAACATTTTTGATAATCTCTACAAGTAGACATGTGTAAATAAGATGCATCTCCGTTATAAACTACGTGAGTATTTCATATGTTTTTTTTAATGTCATTTCTTTCTGGTTAACCAAAACACATGACAACTTTACTTCATTGAGATTTTAAATCTTTCAAATTCTAATTTCTATAAAACAGCAAAGAGCCATATGTCTAACTAAGTGGTTAAGAAGTGCAACCTTAGGTGGCGACCTAGACTCTAGAGAGTGGTGCGGTATGGGACCTTGAGAAAAATAATTTATTTATTTGTTCAAATGTCTTGGTATTTTTTGTTCTATGTTGAATAAATTTACTTTATGTATTAGGCGAGAGTGTGGTGTCACGCTATATTTTTGCCATTTAGGAGATGGGTTGCCATAGACATTTTCATTTTTTTGAATTATTGGTAAGAAAAATGGGAAAAAATACTGAATTTTGACTTTCTCTATCTTCTACAAGGATTCGTTGAGAGATCTTATTGAGCTAACATGTTGAGGCCATGGGGTGGTGAGTGCAGTTACCACCTCATCTTGTTGAGGACCTTGCCGAGGCCCGAGGCCACTCCCTCAAGCCTTAGGGCATCCACAATGCATTGAACTTCATAGAGTTCAATGAATTGCCACATCATCATTCTACAATCCATACAACTCTATTATATTTTTCTCTACAATGCATTGAACTCTACAAAGTTCAATAGAATATTACAAAATGTAATTTATAGTAAATATTTAAGATTAAAACTTTTCTTTTTCCCATTGAAGAGTTCAATGGACATTAAACTTCAAATCCATTGAATGCCAAGGTAGCATCTCACAATGATTGAGTTTCATCAATTGAATGACACATGGACTTGCCACCTCATTCAACTCTCCCATTAAACTCACCATTGTAGATGCTCTTAAAGGCAATAAGAAAGTACCAACGATATAGATTTTTCAACCTATGTCTCATCCTTTTTGACTAATTTAATGAAGTTTTGTAGGGGAAAAATGTGGAACACTTACGCATCCCACTAAGTGATATAGTGTCAGCCACCAAGAATTTTTCTAAAACATACTTAATTGGGTCAGGCGCGTATGGTGAGGTATACAAAGCAGAGCTTGACCATTTTGATGACAAATATTTCCTTCCATTACAAGATAAGCAAAAAAAGCGAACTTCCCAAAAAGCGTAGCATTGTAGCTATAAAACGGATATTGGTTAGAGAAGACAAGCAAGGAGAACAAGGGTTCCTTGCTGAAATTGAAATGCTTTCAAGTTGTAAGCATCCCAACATAGTCTCTCTTTTTGGCTTTTGTGAGGAAGGTCGTCATATGATACTTGTTTATGAGCATGCTGCTAACGGAAGCCTTGATGATTATTTGGAAGGTAGTGGTAAATTGGCTAATCTTAGTTGGATGCAACGTATAAAGATTTGCATTGATATTGCACGCGGGTTGCATTACCTTCATACAAAGATAGAGGATGAACGAAGGATAATACACCGTGACATAAAAAGTGGTAACATTTTATTAGGTGAGAATTGGGTGGCAAAGATTGCTGATTTTGGGCTCTCCAAATTCCACCCAAAGAATCAACAAAGGAACACTCTCTATACAGAACATATTGCAGGCACAAAAGTGTATTTGGATCCAGAATATGATAACACAGGTAAGTTGAAAAACGAAACAGATATTTACTCATTCGGAGTTGTTTTATTTGAGGTCCTGTCTGGAAGGTTTGCAAATGATCCAATTTACACCAAGGAAGATAGCAACGGGATTGCACCTGTCGCACGAAGACGCTTCAATGAGGGCACAATAAAGGAAATTGTTGATCCTCGATTACTTGAAGAAACGCATGAAAGTGTTTTCACCCTAAATAAAGGACCTGATCAGGATTCCCTTGACGCATTTTCAAAAAAATTGCATATCAGTGTGTTGCAGAAACTCAAGCTAGGCGCCCCACAGCGGAAGTCATCATCAAGAAACTTGAGGAAGCATTATCTTTTCAAGTAAGTATAAACCTCTTTTTAATTAGGGTTTACCTTCATCTTGCACAATGTAAGTATGTTCATAAATCATGCATAACTAACTTTAATCCAATGCCTGGTAGTAGGCGATAGCACACACATTGTCCAGTATATTCTATCATTAATAAAAGATTTACAATATTTTTCAATATTTTATAAAGTATATATAATAACCTTTTACATATGTTGAAAAAAAATATAAATGTAAAAAAGCTTCTGAAAAAAGTTCAAATTTTTTCTTGTATATATGTGGGGACATCCTAAATAATGTCTGTTGTGTAAATAACTAGACAAAATAATTAGTATATATAATAATTGGTGCTTTTTTAATTGCAAAATATCTCATTATTGCAACATGTACTTCGGTACAACAACCATTTTAGAGTATATACAGAAAGTGGTTGACATGAACTTGTTCGGGACACACGGGACTGACTGTATAGCAGAAGTTTCAATAAAAATTTCAGTAATTTATTTGTGAATAATTGAGCTGATTGAGTGTTTAATGGTTCACAGGAAAACATCAAGGACAACCTCAAACTTTCACTAGAAGGTTTAATATCAATCACGGAAAATTTCAGCAGTAAGAACGAGATTGGTAAAGGAGGATTTGGTAAGGTATACAAAGGAGAAGTTGCATATGCTGATGGACACAATACCATTGCCGCAAAGCGGTTGGATAAGAGTTTAGATCAAGGAGAACATGAATTTCTGATGGAGCTTGAAATTCTTTTCGAGTATAAACACCAGAATATCATTGGTCTTGTAGGTTATTGCAACGAAATGGATGAAAATATCATTGTTTATGAGTACGCATCTAGAGGAAGTCTTGACAAACACTTGTGCAACAATGGTCTTACATGGAGGAAACGGCTTGAGATATGCATTGATATTGCAAGCGGCTTGGATTTCCTTCATGGAGGTGCGGTAACACAAGAGGTAGTGATACATAGAGACATCAAAAGTTATAACATTCTACTAAATCATGATTGGAAAGCAAAAATTGCTGATTTTGGGCTTTCTTTAATAAGTTCAATAAATAAGGATATGGACTATGTGATTACTAATCCTTGTGGCACAATCGGCTATATTGACCCATTATACTTGAAATTCGGTTTCTTAACGAGAGGGTCTGATATATACTCGTTGGGTGTGGTGTTATTTGAGATCTTGTGTGGTAGACTCGTGTGTGAAATCATCAATGGCAAACTTCAAATTCTAACCAATTTGTTTAAACGCCACTACGAAGAAGGAAACCTCGATGAGATGGTTTTTGAAGGTATAAAGAAACAAGCTGTGCCCAAATCGTTGACCACATTTCAAGCGATTGCCTACCAATGCTTACATGATGAAAGTAAAAATCGACCAACAACAAGTGAGGTCCTACTACAACTCAAAAGAGCATTGGAGTTCCAAGTAAGTTTTCAGAGTCTTAAAAAATTTCGTCATTTCAACTAATATTATTCAAATATGCAATTAAAAAGGCATCAAGACATAACTAAACACAAAATTTTATACGATCTTTAACAAGTATTACACAATAGTTTTTCTTGAATAATAACGATACAAAATTACTTATTAAATAAATAAGGCGTATGATTTTTTGAGAACCATTTTGGATAAGTGTGGTGCAATCTTTTAACATTGTTTAGCTAATATACAGGAGGATTAATCTTTTACATTGTTTGACTAATATACAGGAGGATTACGAATTATGGGCGCCCAAATTGCCTAATGGTTATGAACAAACATTTAAAATGTCAAACTTTCCTGAGATCCACTCCATTGAAAAGAAAAAGGACCTCTACGACATGCTCTGCAAAGGAATACTCCTTCAAGAAGGCAAAATGGTAATTAGCTGGCATATCCAAGTCGTTTTATATTCTAACTTCTCTTAATTCCTTGCATCTTTTTCTCTTCAGTACTTTGAAAGCCAATTGACTTCTTGCGCTTTGTTAGTTTTAATTTGTAATTTGCACTCTTTTTCTATAATATACTAGTGTATAACACGTGGGAACCGCGGTTATAAAATTAATTCAACTTTCATAATAAAAATTTATAATTATTAATCAATTATTTTAAATAAATAATTTTAAAAAAATTATTAATTAGGAGATATATCAAACTTTTAAAGTTATTATAAATTCAAATTTAACATATAATTAGAAAATGTAAATTTAAATTTTGAAATGAGTAGTTGTATTAGAGTGACACTTGGCAAATGGAGATTAAAATTATTTATTTATTAGAATAGGGATTAAACATATATATCTTGAATTACCTCCAACTTTAGAACTTAAGTACCCTTGTTCGTGATCCATCACCACTGCTTTCCATGACTCGCTAATAATCTATGCACTTATGACTTACCAAAATTAGTTTTCATCAAATTATGCTATTTATCATTCTTTTCGTCTAAATGGATATTTTTCTTACCAAAGTATCTTGAGATATATAATAATTATTATTGAGAAGGATAGTACAAAATTATACATGTATTTACACATAATAGAAATTGGTTTGATTTGTTTTGTTTTATACAACAGTTGTTTTCACTGGGCGATAATGGAGAACAAAATGGAATGATATCAGCAAGAAAGTTTCTATACAAACGTCGGTCAGGTTCACATAAGTGGCGATCTGTTCCAGAATCAAGGTTCCACTCTCTTTTTATGGATATGTGCATATCTATTCGTGCATGTGTGAACATGCACCCTTGATATATGTATCTATTTGCTATATGTATCTATTGCTATATTTTGAAAGATAAATTGCTTTTCCTATTCTGTATATATGACAAGTGTTTATTAAACTAACAAATTAGTTGATAGCCTATTTTGAGCTCCCATCAAGATTATGGTGTCATTTCTTTGCCAATTAGTCGGTACTCACATACCAAGTTATCAAACCAGAGAATAATGTACATATACGATCAATTATTAATTTATTATGCATATTACATGCACTATGAGCAAAAGTGTGCAAGTTACTCTGCTTAAAGATGAAGTATAATTAAATGTGGCTATTTGACAACTTTGTTAATAATTACAGTGTCTACTAGGCACATAATACAATGAGACTATTTAACAAAATTTAGGAAAAGAAAAAAGAGAAAAAAAAAAAAAAGAAGAACCAATATTATTAGTAATCTAAATGTTTATTGATACATTAAATGTGTATGTGGGGCAAGGATGTTGTGACTAATTCAAACTTTGATATCTTATAACATGTGTGCAGGTTTGATAAAGTAGCAAAAATGTTAGATTTATCGAATCTAAATATCCAAGTAAAGATAAAACCTCAATTTTTATCTCCGGGCGTCAACTATGGTGTTTATCTAGTTTTTAAATTTTGCGAATCAAGAAAATCTGTAACAAATAGGATGTACGTGAACCTAAAGTACAAAATGGGGAGGGAAACCTTACATACATATTTTGCAACACGGAGAGAAGATGGGTGGATGATGATTGAATTGCATCGATTCTTAAATCATGAGAAAGATGATGACTTTGAGTTTCTACTAGAGAGCTTTTCGCGATGCTACTGTGAAAGCCATGACATCTATATTCAAGGCATCGAGTTTCGGGCCATTGATAATGCAAGTTTGAGAATAATTATTTGGTTCCCATTCTAGATTTTTTTTTTGTTTTATATATATATATATATATATATATATATATATATATATATATATATATATATATATTTGACTATGCATACCACATCTTCATGTTCTATGTTACACTTTTACAGCACAGTGTCTTACAATTTAATTTATACAGGTCAAACATGAAGAAATCAAGAAATTGAAGGAAGTCCAACAACTCTCGATCAAATCAGACTTGAACATGGAACACGTGCAACAATTTTCAACTAATTTTGAGAAAGAAATTGACAGATTTGAAGATTATGATGAGGGTGAAAAGGTTGGTCATTTCTATAATAATTTGTGTATAGTAGATTTATAAATATTGTCATGGGATTTTGGTAATAAATTATATCAACCTTTATGACAGTTGTTCTCGCTAAACAAAGTGATCTTAAAAAAGAAACATTATGTAATCTCAGCAAAGGAGACTGTTTACAAATCTACTGATGTGAAGCTTTTCAATGTGCTACCCTCAACCCATTCCAGGTTTACCATTTTCTTTTTAACTAAATTTGGTTACCTTTGTCTCGTTCGAACCATTGAAATTTTCATTGTTTATACTATATATCTAACCCAATTGTGAAAGAAGTTTAGTTTGCTCATTTTTATAAACCAGATTTCATGATTTTAAATCATATTCTTGTATATTGTACTATTGCTTGATATCGATATAGTTTTAAAGGTCCTAGGAATATATTTATTTCATCACCAAGAAGTTTTTAACCACATGTCATACATCCAGATTCCAAAATGCAATTGAGCTTCTAAGACAACAAGTATTTCGTATCAAGTGCAAGATTGAAAGTCAAAGGTTGTCACCAGATACAGAATACACATGTTACCTTGTGTTCAAGCTCTCAGAAAAATGCCATGGCTTGCATTGTCCGGTGATAGTACGTGATTTACTCCAACAACGCAAAAACAAAGAGAAGGGAATTCTATATTTTAGATCCCCAAGCCCATGTAATGTCAATGATACTGATCGGGTTCCAAAAGAGAGGGAAGATGGATGGATGGAAATCAATGTGTGGAAATTCAACTCAAGTAATGAGATTCGAGATGATTGTGCTTCTATCAATTTGAAGCTCATAAGTTATAAAGGTACTATGTCTGGCCTTATTATAAGCAGCCTTGAGTTTCGGCCGTTGTAAGCAGATATATGAGATAATGATGTGACTTGTGAGCTGATATGGAAAACATAGTGAACATTATACAATTGTTTTAGCCTTACAATGATTTTATACTTGTGTTAGGAGTATGACATCTCATACTTCATCAGAAACCATCTTATTTATTCCTTTGTTTAATTGTTTTTTATTATTATTCCTTTGTATAATTTGTATATTACATGTTCTATATACATCCAATAACAGTAGGATCAACGTAAAGTTGAGGATGCTTTGCACAATTACCACGCTACAAGTAAAAGTAGAATCAAAGTACACCATACAAATAAATATGGCATATCATTCAATATATTTCATTCGGTCGTTTCATCAAACACTTAATATGCATGTAAAAATAAATCTGTTCAAGAAAAAAATAAGAAATAAACTCAAATGGAGTTTTGGTCTGTTGGAAACCAATGGACAACAACTATGATGAAAGAAAGCAATACATACCTGTTGGTTGGTATCCTGTTCAGATTTGTTATGCACATCTTAACGACACTGCTTCTACAATTGAAATCTATCCACCTATACTCTTCAACATGATTATCAATCTATTTTAAATAGATGATTGGCTGCAATTTGAACAGATTTAAACGGGTTTATGTAATACACATTTGATAAAATGGGTAAATTGATTCTTAGGAGAAAGCAATTAAAAAAAGAAGAAGAAGAAGAAGGTACTTCGGGAAATAAAAATACACGTTTTGAAAGAATGGAATTCTTAATGACTCCTTCCTTTCGATTTAACAGAAACAGACAGCATTTTCTGATCGGGACGGATTAATGCTTTCCATTCCTCACAGCGTACCAAACAGCACCCTAACAATTCACAATCAGCTTGGACTTCTTACGCTTTCTGAGAAATGGGAAGGATATGGGGGACGTGCTTGAAAAAGAAGATTGTCAACCGGAGAAAAGTAACAAATGTTAGTGTAATTCAGAAATTGTTATTATTTTAGTTTATGTCACGTGTTTGAGTTTCTTTTGAATAAATCAAAGCCATGTAGGCTGTAGAGTCTGGGTCTTATGCCACTAGGGGTACTTGCAGTCTTTTTAGCATTTTTTGAGTTTAAATAGCTTAGTAGTATGTACGTTGAGGTTATCACCTCCATTTTACAATTCAGTAAATAAAAAGCTTCCAGCTTTAAGCATTGTGCTCTGTTTTTTGCTTTGTTACTATTTCATTGCTACAGGCTTGTGAAGAGCCAACATTTGGTATCAGAGCCAACCTGGTACATGCTCAAGTATCAACCCCGAAAAGAAGAAATGACAGGCAGCAGCAGCAATGGGAATGGTGACAAAGACGGGCAAATCACACTCCACTATCCGATGTTAACAAGAAGCAACTATGGGGCATGGGCAATAAAGATGCGGGTGTTTATGTTGGCCCAAGGTGTGTGGGATGCTATAGAACCCAGAACACCCAACACCCTTGTTGAAGCAAAGAAGGATAACATGGCATTGGCTGCCATTTATCAGGGAATACCTGAGGATCTGCTTATGACATTGGCAGAGAAGAAGACTGCCAAAGAAGCCTGGGAAGCCCTCAAAGTTATGTTTGTAGGGGCAGATAGAGTGAAGGTTGCCAGAATTCAAACACTCAAGGCTGAACTCGAAGCCATGAGCATGAAAGAGACGGAAAGTGTTGATGACTTCACCGGAAAAGTCATCAACACAGTCAGCACATTACGAACCTTGGGAGACAAGGTAGAAGAATCTCAGGTGGTGAAGAAGTTACTCAGGGCGATGTCGTCCAAATTTCTTCAGATTGCCTCGACACTCGAGCAATTTGGAGATTTGGAATCAATGTCCGTTGAAGAGGTGATCGGAAGACTCAAGGCATATGAAAAACGCATGAAGAGTACCGGTGATAGTGATGATCGAAAACTCCTCCTAACTCACAAAGAATGGTCCGATAGAAACAAAAAGAAGTCAGAGGGTGATTCAAAGCAGAGATCAAATCGAGGTGGACTTGGTGGTTCACGTGGCGGTCGTGGCAGAGGTAGAGGAAGAAACGGAGGGGGCCGTGGTGGTCGTGGTGGCAGAGGCGGATCACATCACCAAGAGGAGAGCAATTCCGGTGCATCGAGTAGCCATAACAAAAGTGACATCCAGTGCTATAATTTCCAAGAGTATGGGCATTATGCATCTGAATGTAAGAACCCACGAAAAGAACGAACCCACGAGAATAACCTGGTCCAAGAACATCACGACAATGAGCCTGCCCTGTTGCTGTCAACATGTAAAGATGAAAGCTTGGTATTTCTGAATGAAGAAAATCTCAGTCCTCAATTGAGAACCCATGGAAATTTGAAGAAGTCGTCTTACACATGGTACCTGGATACAGGTGCTAGTAACCATATGACTGGAGACAAAACCAAATTCAGAAGTGTGAATGAATCAATTCATGGCTTTGTGAAGTTTGGGAATGAATCGAAAGTGAGGATTGAAGGAAAGGGCTCTATAGTCTTTAAATGCAAAGATGGTGGGCGTCGAAAATTGAATGATGTATACTACATACCTTATTTATGTAGCAACATCATCAGTCTGGGTCAATTAGCAGAAGGGGGATATGAGATCAAGATCAAAGACCCATTCTTATGGGTTCATGACTCAATTGGAAAGCTGCTTATGAATGTGAGAAGATCAGCAAATAGACTTTACAAAATAGAGCTAAAAGAAGCTACTGCAGTGTGCTTTGCTGCAGAGTGTGATGATCCAACTTGGCTCTGGCACAAGCGAATGGGGCATGTAAATTTCAATTCAATGAAGCTGATGATTGATAAGAAGATGATCGAAGGTGTGCCACAAATAAAGATTCCCTCACAACCGTGTGAAGGTTGTTTGGTGGGAAAACAAGCAAGAGATCCATTTCCAGTTCAGACGAAATTCAGGGCAAACAAGAAGCTTGAGTTGATCTATGGTGATTTATGTGGGCCAGTTACTCCTCCAACACCCTCTGGTAATAGATATTTCATGTTGATGGTTGATGATTTTAGTAGAGTGATGTGGGTGTACTTGTTGAAGTCTAAAGATGAAGCTCTACAAGTGTTTAAGAACTTTAGAAGCAACGTAGAGACTGAAGCAGGGGAGAAAGTGAAAGTGTTCAGAACCGATCGTGGAGGAGAGTTCTTATCAAAGGAATTCACGAGGTACTGTGAAGAAACTGGGCTGGAGAGACAGTACACGTCTCCCTACTCTCCACAGCAAAATGGAGTAGTAGAGAGACGTAATCGGATTGTATTGGAGATGGTGAGGTGCAACTTAAAGACAATGTCCGTGCCCAATGCATTGTGGGGAGAAGCTGTATCATACTATGTTTATGTCTTGAACAGAGCTCACACGAAAGCCTTGAAGGATATGACTCCCTATGAAGCATGGTCTGGGAGAAAGCCACATATAGCGCATCTCAGGGTGTTCGGTTGTGTAGCTCACATGAAAATTGTCAAAGGGAATTTGAAGAAACTAGAAGATAGAAGTATGCCCCTGGTCCATCTTGGAACTGAAAAAGGCTCGAAAGCATACAGGCTTCTGGACCCAGATTCAGGGAAAGTTTACGTGAGTCGAGATGTCGTATTCGAAGAAAATCGAAATTGGCTGTGGGAGAAAAGTCAAAAGATCAAAGCGACACCAGCAGTATCCTTTACAGTTGAAGGCTTCGACCTCGATGATGGCTTCTATGAAGATGAAGGCGAGTGGGACGGTGAAGGAGAATGGGTCCCTGATACTCCAGATCAGCAAATTGGGTCATCATCATCTAATTGGGCCGACAGTCTGCAGTCCAATGTATCGGGTTAATCACAATCAAGCCCACCGGGTAGTCCGATACTCTCAAATACCCCAGTCGCACATAATTCTCCCATTACGATCGCCCCATCGACTCAATCAGCGACTCTGAGCACCGTTTCTAGCTCGACGGGTGGTGGTGCTCCAAAGCGATTCAGGTTACTAACAGACCTGTACGAAAGCACCGATGAAATTCATTTACCCCCTGAAGAACTAATGTTGATTCGAAACGATGAAGAACCCACATCGTACCAGGAGGCTAGTAGGAAAAAGGAATGGCGAGATGCAATGGATGCAGAATTAGCATCGATCGAAAGAAACAACACGTGGAGCCTGGTCGATCTTCCAAAGAATCGTAAGGCTATTGGCTTGAAGTGGGTCTTCAAATTGAAAAAGGATCCAAGTGGAAAAATTGTCAAGCACAAAGCCAAGATTGTAGCGAAGGGGTACGTCCAAAGGCACGGGATCGATTATGATGAGGTATTTGCCCCAGTGGCCAGAATCGACACAATTCGCCTCATCCTAGCCCTATCAGGTTCAAATGGGTGGAAGGTTCACCATCTGGATGTCAAATCAGCATTCTTAAATGGAAGCCTGAAAGATGAGGTTTACGTTAGTCAACCTGATGGCTATCAGAAGAAAGGCCAAGCTCACAAGGTGTATATGCTATCCAAAGCCCTTTACGGGCTCAAACAAGCTCCTAGGGCTTGGAATGCTTTCCTGGATCGACATCTAAAGAATATTGGCTTCACAAGGTGTGCCCATGAGTACTCAGTCTACACCAAGAGGTATGAGGGGAATACCTTAATTGTAGGAGTGTATGTAGGTGACCTGCTTGTGACAAGAAGTTGCCCTAAAAGTGTCCAAATGTTCAAAAAGGACATGAATACCAAGTTTGAAATAAGTGATTTGGGTCTCTTGACTCATTACTTGGGAATTGAAGTGAACCAAAAAGGAGATGGGATTACCCTGAAACAGGAGTCATATGCCAAAAACTTGCTTATCAAAACAGGTATGCAAGATTGTAATCCCACAAAGACCCCTATGGAACACAAGCTCAAGCTCCGAAAAGAAGATGAATCTGAATTGGTGAACCCCACAGAGTATCGAAGTATAGTTGGTGGGCTGAGGTATTTAACTCATACCAGGCCAGATATAACCTTTGTTGTGGGAATTGTAAGTCGATTCATGGAGAAGCCAACTGTGAATCACTTACAAGCAGTAAATGGTATTTTAAGGTATATAAAGGGCACTCTGGATTTTGGCTTGAAGTACTTAAAAGGAGAGGGACCAGTCACACTAAAAAGGTATACAGACAGTGACTTAACAAATGACGTCAATAATCGGAAGAGCACTGGTGGCATGGCATTCTATGTGAATGAAAATCTGATCACGTGGGCATCACAGAAGCAAAGATGTGTGGCTCTCTCCACTTGTGAAGCTGAATTCATGGCTTCCACAATGGCAGCCTGTCAAGGGATTTGGCTAAGGAGACTACTAAGTGAAGTAACCGGGAAAAAGATACCACCTGTTGAGCTGAAAGTTGATAACAAATCAGCACTCGATTTGATGAAGAACCCAGTCTTCCATGGCAGAAGCAAGCATATAGACATTCACTTCCACTTCATCGGAGAATGTGTTGAGAATGGGGACATTTCAGTCACTCATGTCTGTAGCAAGGAACAGAAAGCTGATGTTCTGACCAAGTCACTGGGAAGATTGAAGTTTGAGGAAATGTGAAGTCTCCTTGGAGTAGTGAAGGTATGATTTCTGAATTAAGGAGGAAAATGTTAGTGTAATTCAGAAATTGTTATTATTTTAGTTTATGTCACGTGTTTGAGTTTCTTTTGAATAAATCAAAGCCATGTTGGCTGTAGAGTCCAGGTCATATGCCATTAGGGGTAGTTGCAGTCTTTTTAGCATTTTTTGAGTTTAAATAGCTTAGCAGTATGTACGTTGAGGTTATCACCTCCATTTTACAATTCAGTAAATAAAAAGCTTCCAGCTTTAAGCATTGTGCTCTGTTTTTTGCTTTGTTACTGTTTCATTGCTACAGGCTTGTGAAGAGCCAACAACAAAGCGGTTGGAAATCTAGGCATCGCAACTTCTTTCAGTAACTGGATTCAAGAAACCATCAATGTCTTAGTGGATGGGGAGAAATTTGTGATCAGAGTAGTGGAGAAAGCGGTAGACTCCTTTGAATGGGCGCCTATTTTTGCCCAAAGTGAATTCTTTGGAGAAAATTACGATGACGGATATTGGGAGGAAGAGAATTTTCCGGTAGAAACTCCGGCGACATTGTCATCTAATCCGCTGAACAACGACCTGGTCAGCGACAACAACTCAGTGGGAAACAAAAATAGAGCATTGTACACTGAAGGAGATGTTGACGACTTTCGCCTGCCATAGAAAAAGCTCAACGCATGGGGTTTAACGATCATGGACCCTCCAAGCCCAATTATTCCTCAAATAAGCCCACCTCGCCTAAAAGATCATATTACCATAGTTCAGTCTCTATTGGCCTGCTTGCTTATTCTTCGGTAATAGCCCAATCAGCTTAAATCCACCAAGTAGACCTGCACATTGCGGTCCCGTGCCGGTATTGGGTTTGTATCGAAACGGTCTAGTCTTTTTGTGGTCGGTCTCGGAGCGGTCTTTTTTGGTCCGGTCTTTTTTCAGATCGATCTCTTTCGGTCAAATCTTTTTTGGGACCAGTCTCGAATTTAGAACAGATTTAGATGTAGACACATGCACCTATCAGGTGGGGTTAAAGATAATACGTTCCTCACGGATAGGGACGATACTGCCCTCTCAAACTCTAAACAAAATCAGTAGTGCTAATCGAAAAATAAAAAATGGGCTTCATGCTACTAAGACAGATCTCGCTGCTGATAATAACAGGAACCACAATATAACCATATCCAAAGAAATTATCTTCATCACTGAAGTTGGAGCCAACTTCGGGATCGATTTAAGGAATTTTGAAGACATGGTCAAAGATGTTTTGATTAAGAAAGGTGCCACAAGTAATCCATGAATAGTGTTTGGGTGTTCATCTAAAAACTCTTTATTAACTTATTGATTTCTTGAAAAATCAATAAATAAAAAAAGTGTTTAGATACCTAATAAGAACTTTTACAACTCCTTTTGTTTAGCATTTGAAAAAGAGTTTTCAAAAAGTGGCAAATTGTGACTTTTTGAACTGACTTATAACTTATTATGATATATATATATATATATATATATATATATATATATATATATATATATATATATATATATATATATATATATATATAAAGTAAAACAAAATAGAAGACAATTTTAAGCCAAACACTTTTTAACTTATTTACTTATTGACTTTTGCCATTTAAAAGCTAAATATCAAACACCCTCTAAATGTCTCTCAATTAACATTAATGGGGTAGGGAAGGATGTAAAAAGGAACTAGATCTAAGACTTAATCGGTATTTACGAGATCAACTATTTGTGCATCCATGAAACCAAAGCGGAAATCATAAATGATTCATGTATCCATTCTTTTTGGGGAAATATACATTTTCAATCTTCTTTTGTTGGTTCTTTTGGTAACACCGGGGGGGGGGGGGGGGGGGTAGTCTGGGATCCCTCCTTCCTCGAAATGGATTCAATTCACAAATATAGATGGTTCCTAGTGGTTACAAGAACTTGGAAATCCATCAAATGTCCGTATGCTTTAGTGAATATTTATGCCCATTAGGTATGCAGGAAATCTTTACTTTGGGATCAGTTATCTGCTATGATTTCGATTGCCCAAAAAAATTAGATCTTATGTGGCCACTTCAATAAAGTTCGAAACATTGACGAACGGAAATGGTCATACTTCTCAGCACGAGGTGCTCACATTTTCAACTCATTCATCTCGTCTTCGGGTCTTGTGGAGCTAAATCTTGGATGAAGGAAATATACTCGGACGACTACAGATACTTGCAAAATTTAGTAAATTGGATAGGTTCTTAGTCTCAGATAAGTTCTATCATTTTTGGCCCAACTCGTCTACCCTAGCCTTGATGCGACTATACTCCGACCCCTGTCCGGTTTTACTTGACTTGAATAGCCCGAATTTCGGTCCTCTGTCATTCCTTTTTTTCCCTCTTAGCTCCAATACGACGAGTTAGCTGTCGTGGTCAGGGATTCTTGGGTCAATACGCGTCCCAATTTGACAGTTTTTTCTAGAGTTGAAAAAATCTCTCGAAAGCTTAGAGTGCTTAAAAATGACATTAAAAGTTGGCATATTTATATCAAAAACTTCAATATAGACAAAATTGTTACTCTCAAAACCAAAGTGGTCGCTTTGGATGTCTTGGCTGAAAGCCAGATGCCGATTTTATCAAGGAAAGAAATGATACTATATTAAAAATTCAAGACCTTAAAAAATCTAAGATACTTGACATTAGACAGAAAGCAAGGTGCATGTGGGGGCTTGAAGGGGACGAGAATACAAGTTTTTTTCAAGGGCTTGTTAATATGAATCTCAAACGTTCCCGCAACCATGGGTTAAACATTAGTCGAGTTTGGGTCGCCAATCCAGTCAAAATCAAACGTGAGATTTACACTTTCTTTAAGCTTAAGTTTAAAGAGTTGCATCATCATAGACAACATCTCAGGAGCAATAAATTTTGGGTTCTTTCTTACAGTGATCATTACGGTGTGGAGGCGCATTCACTACCGATGAAATTAAAGAAGCAATATGGGGTTGTGGGAATGACGAATGTCCTAGGGGATTATTTTGTGTTTGTGAGGTATGGGGTTTGAATCCCGGCCACACACCTATACCTTTTTCTTACCTAAACCTGCTTGATTTTTTAAGTAATTAGAGGCACTTTATATTATATAAATTAGTTTACAGATCTTATACAAAATTGCAATAGAGTTCAACGGAAGGGTAATTTCCCTCTATCATTGTCAACATTACACGTCATCTGCCACACAAGCTTTCAAGATGGCAAGGTAACCGACAAATATTTGATTGACCATTTGACCTGATAAAAAAGACAAATTTGACAGGAGTCTGTTAGATATTAATATTAGGGATTAATAAACATAAATTTAGAGTTAGGGTAAAACACAAACTGTTATTATTTATCAAACTTAAGGAGTTTTGTGGCAATACCCCTTAAAGGAAGAAGAGTTTTAAAACGTGGTTTCAAATAACCTATTTTTGGCTCAATGGTGACCGAAGAGAGTATGTAGTATGTAGTGACATGACGTCTTATGTTAGATTTCAAGTAGTTGTCAACTTTAAATGTTGCCAATATTTCTTGTTTGTTAAACTCGTACTAAGACCTACATTTAATCACCGATGATGAAAGAGTAAAGTTGTGGAAAAAGAATAATAGAGGGAGAGGTGGGTGGTGGAGGAGATGTTGGTGTCCATTTTATTTTTATTTTTGTTTTAATTACAAGGTAAATCTCCAGAAAAGTCATAATATTTTAGTCAAATTTATGAAAAAGTCCCAAACTAATTTTTGTTTTACAGAAAATCACAGAATACCTGCTAAAACTTCGAAAAAACCCTTTTCAGCTGGTTTCACAGATTTAGTTAGTATTCTGTCCCTTTTAATTAGTTTGATCAAAATTTTGGTACTTTTCTGAAAATTATCCAATAACCAAAATATTTGAACTTTTCTAAAAATTACCATGAAGTTAATGGATATTATTATTAACAAATAATTCATTAACATAACAAATATTTTTATTATAAACAAAGGAAATATATTTGTTGCTAATTTCTAGGAATAAAGTGGTGGACTAAGCACTTCTTTATTGCTTGTTGGTCACTTTAAACTTTCTACGTTCCTCCTAAGCATCGTTGTGGGAATGATGGTGAGATGTACTCATTGAGTGTTCCTTTAATGTTGATGTTCCTATTATGTTGTTAAACCTAACTACCACAACATTCATACATCACATGGTAATAACCATCGGCTAACACACATCCATCGAATGTGAAAAAGTGAACCGTGAATGACAATTTATATGGAAACAAATGAATGATGATTATCTATTTAAATTGTCATTCAAAGTTTACTTTTCAATCTCGATAGATGTGTGTAATTCATAGAAGTGTGTAATTCGATGGTTGCCATTAGATAATATATGGATGTTAGGTGGTAGTTAAATTAAAAAAACATTTTAACATTTTAATACTTTTGGTCATTCCGTCTAAATTTTTATATTTGACATAAACAACACACAAAAATGTTACTGGGAAAGCGTGGGCTTTCCTCCTGGTTGAAGGTAAAGGACGCCGTTGATGTTTTTTTAGTTTTGACACTGTACTTTACCTTATATCGTTTCCCCACTTAGCCTATCCAAGTCGATTGCAGGAGCTTTCCAACCCACCCCCAAACTTCGCCCCGTCTCTCTAGCTCAGCTGGAGGAACTAGGAAGGCTCCATCTCTTTCAACCCTTTAAATCAAGAAAGAATCGTCGATTAAACACTTCGAATCTAGAAAGCCAGAAACGATTTAAGTGTTCACAACTACAAGATCTCTTCTCAAACCCCAAAAGGTAACATCTTTTTGCAATCTTGAAATTATATACGTATACCCTTCAATCCTGTTCTCAATCTTCAAGATCTATTATTATCGAAGTTTTTAGATTTTTCCCTGTTTATATTTCTGGGTTTGAGCTTGAAATTAGGGTTTTTTTTTTTTTTTTTTTTTTCTGGGTATTGCAGATCCAGCTGGAAAATTGTCGATTTAATATGTCTATTTTACTGCCCAAAAGCGATTCCGTTGAAATCAGGGAGGTATGGGATTATAATCTTGAAGAAGAGTTTGCTTTGATTCGAGAGATTGTTGATGATTACCCTTATATTGCAATGGATACTGAATTCCCTGGTGTTGTCCTTCGCCCTTTGGCACAATTCAAGAATATAAATGACTATAATTATCATACGTTGAAGGATAATGTTGATATGTTGAAATTGATTCAATTGGGTTTAACATTTTCCGATGAGGATGGAAATCTTCCCACTTGTGGGACTGAAAAACACTGCATTTGGCAATTCAATTTCAGGGAATTTAACGTTAATGAAGACATCTTTGCAAATGATTCCATTGAGATGTTGAAACTGTGTGGGATTGATTTCAAAAAGAATACACAAGAGGGTATTGATGCAAATCGATTTGGGGAGCTTTTAATGTCATCTGGGATTGTTTTGAATGGTAATGTTTGTTGGGTGACTTTTCATAGTGGGTATGATTTCGGGTATTTGCTTAAGTTATTGACACGAAAGGAATTGCCTGAATCTCAAATGGGGTTCTTTAATTTGATCAGGATTTACTTCCCAATCATTTATGATATCAAACATTTAATGAGGTTTTGCAATCATCTTCATGGTGGTTTGAATAAACTTGCAGAGATCTTGGAAGTTAAAAGAATCGGTGTTTGTCATCAAGCAGGATCCGATAGTTTGCTTACTTCTCATGCTTTCAAGAAATTGAAAGAAAGTTACTTTAATGGATCCACTGAGAAGTATGCTGGTGTTTTATATGGTTTAGGTGTGGAAACGGAGGTTCAAAATTATTAAATTTATGTTTTGTTTTCGGTTAAAAAATGTTGCATCTTTAGATGTGTTTGATCATGTTTGAGTACTGTATATTCTTGTTTTAATTGTTTGTATGAACAGTTTTGAATCATGATGTAGAAAGATATACAGGTTATAATATATTAGGCATATGAAGTAAAATATTGCATTTTTTTTTGAAATAATTTCAATTCATAATCAGCTATAAAACACAATAAAAAGCTGAAAATTGATAATGTTAACAATAACATATACGAATCAAGTTTTGTGTACAAGATGCAAAACAGCCTCCATTGATGTTTAATCTCTGCTCCAAGAATCATCCCTTTGTAATGGAAATGTTCTACATGAAAATATACCACACAATGAGCATCATGATGTTAGAGTCATCAAATGGTGTAGAGAGATAGAAACAATCTAACAATGGATTAAATCTATATAAAAACCACAAGAACCCAACTTGGTGTAACTGTTGATTAGAATGCAATTTTGGGGGATAATTTCTATAACACTCTAACATCAACACATTGCAGGTTCAAGATATCTATCAAGATTAGCAAGAACAACATATAATCATGCTATAGAAAAGATCGAAACACATATTTCTCCTTTCGGCCACGTCGTTCCATCAATTATGCCAAACTGCAAAAACACTACTTTTGTCGATAATGTGTAAACTAATAACAATCTAAAGAGAAAACGGCTAGAGTTTCAATATTGAAAGAAAACTATAAAAAGACAGAATGTGAAATAAGTTTATAAATAGGAAAATTATCTATGGTTAACCAAGCTAAAGGGCTAAACAAAAAGCACAATATTATAAAATAAGCCCAAACTAATTTATAATGCTAACAGATAAATGTTTATGGTCTCACTTGAACAAGAAAACACACATGCACTTCAGTGATTTTGTTATTTTTTTGTGCTAGGCGTTTGAGTGCTCTATTTCATTATCACAAAGAGTTTGTGTAACCCAAATTGTATAGGGTTGAATTATTTCTTCAAGAAAATGATTCCTATGTGATTATTGAGATTATTCGAGTTTTCTTTTGACACTATTAACCCTTTCAATCAACTCCAACAATCTAAATTTAGTGACTATCATGGCGGAATTCAACAAGTTGGTTGAGCTTGAAGGAAATGGCTTCTAGATATGGCAAAAGAAAATGTACTTCTTCCTTACTGCAATGAAGTTGTGTATGTGTTGGAGTATCCCCATGTTGGAGATCATGGAAGGTGAATCTCTTGAGGCAACATGACTAGGGAGCTAGTGAGAGGATGATGAGTACAATGAGTCAACATGAAGATCAATGAGTCATCTTAGTATCTAGTGTGATTGTCAAGTTGCCATGTTATTAGAAAGCATGTGTTCATACACAAAAAGGAAGAGATGCCTTTGGTACAAATCGTGATTCATTAGAATCCCTCCCGACACAAGAAATGACAAACCTAAGAAAAAAGATGTTTCAGAGTCGCTTTACGGTGAATATAGTGGAAGAAGGGATTAAGGGAAAGGTGGTTTTAGATAAACCTAAGTAACACAATGTGTTGGATATGTGGCAAATCCTTTGACTTCAATTATGATTGTCAATTAGCCAAGGCAAGAATGGTTTCGGAAAAACAACTTTACCAACAAATTTCTTACATATCATATTGATAATGTTGATTTGGCTTTGTGGATTAACAAAACTGGAACAAGTCATGTATGCTAAAATAAAAAAACGGTTCAAGGCATATGAATATATGTCATAACAAGTGAAATACTCTATCTCTCTCATTCTTGGTGAAGGATTAGTGGTATTAGAGTTTAGCCCTGAAAAAAAGATCTTGATCTTTCCTACGTTCATGTTTCAACGATTAGGAAAGATTTAGCTTTTGGAAGTTTGTTGAACAAATGTGGTTATAAATAAGGGATTTAATCTGATACATATGTATATCATCTAAGTGTGGTTTTCTTTGGCATACTCGTTTATAACATGTTTATTATAAGCAGTTGTTTGAAATGCCTAAAAGTAATTTTATTCTAGCTTTTGACACTAATTGGCAAGTACAAAAAATGAATGTTATCTACAATAACTAGGCAAGCTTAGGTTTTGTTAGAGCGAGAGACCTATGTGGTTTACATACCGACTAGTCTTTAGGAAACAAGAACTATGTTGTCGCATTTATTGAAGACCATACACCGGTTTTGCTATGTATATTACTACATGCTAAAGACAATGCCATAAATAAATTTAAGATTGTATAAAATGAAGTTGAGTTGCAACAAAGTAACTTAATTAAGAGACTTCACACCGAAAGCAATGGAGAGTATTACGATCCAATGTATGTTCAATCGTAGGCTTAATACATGATACTTCGAATCCTTAATTCCTTATACACAATAAAAAAAAAGGTGTGCCAAAGATGACAAATAGAGTTCTCACTGAAACGGTTAATTCCATATTGTCTTATTCGGGTTTGAGTGAGGAGGGGTTTTAGGGCAAAGCCATGTTAATGACTTGCTATTTTTTTAGATACAGTTCCAAACAAAAGAAACAGTGTATCTCTGTATTAATTCTGTAGTTCACAGAAAAACAAAAATTGAGTTATGTTTGAGGTTATGGATTTGAGATGGTCGTAACACCAATCAAACAAAAAAAATTAGTGAAAGAGGTATATATTGTATTTAATTTTATAAGTCAAGCATTCCACGACTTATAATGGTTATGTTATAGAGTCCATGAATCTATTTCGGTTAATACCGTAATAGAATCAGGAGATGCAATTTTTTATGAGACTGGATTCTCATTTATACATAGATCAAAAGACTTGGTTTCAAGTAAAAGTGGAACTAACAAGGAAGATGACTGGAAATTTACTCCTAATGAGTCCATCTACAACCATATGAGCCAAATGAAAGGAAAGCAACATCATTTGTTCCTGATGTTCAACTATAAGGGGTCCTATAGATGAGGTTACTTCCATATAATCGTATTGTGTTTGTATAGACGAGGTTCCAAAAAGATCCAATGAGGCAGTAGACTCTGAAGATGTTGCTTTCTGCAAAGATGCAATCAATGACGAAAGCCATCACGGGACATAATACTTGGGTATTATCAGATCTTCCATGCAGTTGCAAACCATTAGATTATAAGTAAATCCCTAAAGGAAGATGAAAGTAGAGAGAACTATATAAGTACAAGGCTTGAGTATCTTTAGACAAAAACTTTGAATTGGCAATTTCTATGTATATAAGCTCTGATAGCACGTATCTCCACTATTAGATTTCAACTAGACTTGGAGGCTATTCATAATCGAGTGATTCACTGAATGAACGTCAAAACAACATTCATGAATGGTGACATAAAAAAGGAGGTGTATAGTAACCGGTTTCACCATAGGTAATAATGAACATAACGAGTGTAAGTTGGTTAAATCTCTATATGAACTTAAAAATGACATCAAAAGTTTGGCGAGGTTATCTTGTCGAGTGGTGTTGTTCCACACAGATCGGATAAGTGTGTATAAAGCAAATTTACTTAGTCTACTAATAAATTAATCATTTGTTTATATGTTGATGACAATTGTTCTTCAGAACAAACCAAAGAAAAGTTGATTTAACTAATGAATTTTTGTCATCAAGATTCTCCATGAAAGGAGGAAGCGGATATGATCCTTGGAATTAAGATCATACGTTATAGCAAAGGAATTTCAATTACACAATCTCATTATATTGAGAAAGGGCTTAAAGAAATTCAGTTGTCGAAATTTTTCTTTGGTTAGAACTCGTATGGATAAGAGTGAGAAGCTTATGACTAAATACGAGAAAGTGGTATCAAAACTCGTATATTCAAAAGCAAGTATATTCAAAAGCGAGTGGCTGCTTAATGTATGATGGGTGCTTAAATAATTAGTTATACGATGGGTGCTTAGTAGGTTCACTAGTAACCCTAGTAGTCATCATTGGCTAGTTATACGATGGGTGCTTAAATAACTCAATAAAACTATGGATTGTGGTTTGTCATATGTCCGATTTCCTTTGACTACAAATGCAAGTTGGATTATCAATGTAGAAGATTTTTTCTCTTACGAGTGGTTGGGTGTTCTTTCTTCAGAGAGGTACCATTTCACTGGTTTCTAAAAGGAAAATGTGTATTGCTAATTCGACAATAAAGTCGAAGTTTACAACCTTTGTTGTCAGTAGTAAAGAGACAGAGTGCTAAGAAACCTAATCCATGATATTTTACTACGCTCGAAACCGATTTCACTTATTTCTATATATTATGGTAGTGATCCTAGTTTGGATAAGGATTATAACCAAGTGTATAATAGCATGTCTCGACACTAGGCGTTAGAAATAGCCTGGTGTGCAAGTTGATGACACACGACCTGATTTTCATGGGATTTGTTCTAACTCAAAAGAATATGAAAGACCCTTAACGAAGCGGTTATCTAGAAATAGGGGATTTGATACACAAATCGGTAATATAGATGTGGCTAAAGCCCATTTGAAATCTCTTAGGGTGGGAATCTCAATTTTCCTCTAATAAAATATCAGGCGTTGAATTCAATGTGGAAGCCTTACATGTAGCGACTGGAACACAAGTGTTTACATCATCCCAAGATATGTGTTTGAAGGGTCGGACCATCAAGTGCAAGTGGATAAGAGATTGATTTTTTTTTCTTAGTAGTTCTTTTGAAAAAAGAAATACATGTTTAGATGCATGAATAAAAGGATTACCTATAATCTCAAGTTTTGCCGCTTTAAAAAGCTCGGGCTTGGCTTTGGATTCCTCATAAATGAATACCACACACTGCTTGTAATAGTGTCAGATATCGACATTGGAGTAGTGTAGAAACTTCTATATATATTATCTTCAAGAGTGGAGTAAACGCTCACATAATTAGAATTAGTGTCATAACATTTGGTGTGATCGGGATTAACTTGAGGCCTGACAGATTTAGTATCTAGTATAATGCGAGTTTGGAGGTGTGAGTATACCCTCGTATAATTGGATTTATCCTAAGATGGCATGGATTTCTAGCAAATTGACAATGGGATCAAGCATAGGGCAACAATGGTATTAATAGATCCAATGAATTCGTCTAACCTTGTTGGCGGATATAACCGCTCGACTCTTATGTCAATTTGTCAATTGCACCAAAACTACCATCTAAATACTTCTAACCGCCAATTTCTATGTTTATCCAATTGGCATGAAAAATAATATTTATATTCTCGAAAATCAGTTTTCATACTTGAGAAAGAAAACACACATAGAATTTTAGTGATTCTTCAAGTTTTTATGCAGAAAACCATCCAAAAAAGGTTTGTGCAACGAAGGCGTATATCTTCGAATTGTTTATCGAGGAAAGTGAGTCCTACAAGATCGTTGAGATTATCGAAAGTTTTCTTTTGATACTCTTAATTCTTTAAATCAACTCCAACACATATTCCATAGAAATACAACCAGCATAAAAAGCATATTTACAAGTAAAGAGTTATCAAGGACCAAAATAGTTACCTGGAGATTTAGAAGAAAATTGACCTGCAACAGCACAAATGCATACTAATCTGCAAGAATATCAAAAACCAAATGGAAAAAGTCAAAGTTTTGCAGTATTAGTAAGACCTTAACTAAGGTAAAAACAGTACCTGAGTAGCATCCAAAACCACACTACGTATCATTTTGCCTCCAGAGAATCAAACATCGTTCTAAGTTGACCCTAGAAGCCTTCCAAGAACAAACAATGGCAGTTTGCATCAATGAATTAGAAAAAAAAAATCTGCTAAAAACGCCTATTTTTTTTATATAAAAATCCTATCTGCCCAAAGGTTCCAGCTGAATTTCCTTTCTTACTGAAGAACCCATAATTCTTTCCATATTTCCTTCATCTATCGTGCTTGGACTTAAAAGATCAGTTTCCTCATCTTCACCATCACCCAAAACAAAATTACCTCTCCCTCCACTTCTCTCTCTTACACTCCTTCCCCGAACATATTCCAAGTATAAAACACTAACAACACCCACCAAAACCCAAATCACCAAAGCACAAGTCAACCCCTTAACATTTTCAGCATTATACCTATCCCCTAAATGCTTCAACCCAGTAAAAATAGAAATAACCCCAATACAAACAGCCAATTTTCCAGCATAACCATGCATATATTCCCAAACTACCCTTTGGCGCAACGGTTGTTCACCATCAGGAGCTTCTTTAGGTCTAAAGTACGCGTTAATCGGTTGTATAAAACCCAATATTAAGGTCAAGATTCCAAATTTGACATGTAATGAGTGAAGATGTAAACCCCGAACTTCAGCTGCAGCAAAAAGAATCCCAAGGAAAGTAATTGTCAACCCTGAACACTGTGAATAAACATGAATCTTGAACCAGAAATCTCCATTAAAATTTTTCATATATCGAGCAGCCAATACGCCACCTGGCAGAAACATACCCCATGCAAGAAACATCATGAAACCATGCACAGCTAAAACAGGTTTTAAATCCTCATCAGCTTCAGCCGAACCACGTAAAAGTGAAACCCTAACAGCTTTACTACTTGTGCTTGAATGCATATTACTATCAGTCAAATTATCTGCAGACCATTTTGCCCCCATTGCCCATATCACTTTAAGAAGAGACGTGGGCTCCACAATGTTTTTACATTCCACCTTTTTATCTCCATCACATTCTGGCTTCAAAGGTCGGGAGAATTCTAGAGTTATGATTCCTTGTTCACTTTTGCATCTTACATATGTCAAGTTTTCATTGGTGGGATGTATACTTTGCACGTTATTTCCATCAATCCAATACGTATTCACACGTCCAGTTCCATTTCCATCAACCCATCCCACATACGCGAAACTATTCTTCATTTTTTCTCCAAACCCAATAGCAAGATACCCCGTTTTCTTCTCACTTCTAGCTGCAATAGATATCGACTTCTTTGAAAGTGTCCAATAGAATGTAACTTGTTGATCATCTAATAAAACACTATTGTTATACATATCACTAAGCCCTCCATCTACAACTTCTATTTTCCACCCCATTTTTGGGGTGTAAAGAGATTGATAGTAGATTTCATTAGGAATATTTCGATCGGGTGACCATTCTAACTCTTCCGGCTTTGATTGTACTCCATGTGCCATTTGTCCACCTGCATAAACCGTTTCTGATACATTTCTACTCATTGCATTTCCACCAATTGGATCAGAAGTGATGTAAAATGCCACATTATGACCAGCTTGTATTGAGAACTTTACAGGAACACCCCTTTCGATTCTCAAAAGAGGTGATTCTTTCTTGTTAATGTAAAGAACCTTAGAAGGGTTTGGTGGATTTGGGTAATGTAAAGCTGGACCTAAAGTTACAACTAGTGGCTCGTTTTTTTCGGCGATTAAAAGATCTTGATCTTGTTTGTTGTTGGCATCAAGTGGGCCCGAGCATTCGTTGACACTCTCTGAAATATTGACATCAACATGACCATAAGTCTTGCCATGGTTTTCAGGAAGGTAAAGAGGTTGGATGGAATCAGGTGGCCTGATTGAACCTAAAGCCCATATACATGTCATGTTCTTTTTTAGATCTACATCCCAATCGTAGTTTTTGTCAATAGATTTTATTGGTCTTTGATATCGAATAAATGAGACACCATCTTTCCTATGTCCATAAACCAATATTGTGTTGTTGACCTTATTATCATTATGATACATGATGTCTGGACAAACACCTTCAGCTCTACCATTCTTGTTTTTCATACATGCACTATACTTAGTGATATGATAATCATCCACAAAAGGCATTCCCTCTTCAGTAAAACCAGTCACTGCCACGTCAGCACCAAGCATATAATCTTTTTTGTTGGACGGATCTGCCCATCCAAAAGCCATATAGTTTCCAATATCAATTGCCCCCTCAAGCCCGATATCAATCACATTATCATCTTCTCTCAATGTCCACCTTAACCTATAAGTGTCTGATAAAACTTTACAATTATCAAACATAGTAGGCTCTCCATCAAACTCAACAACAGAACTCCCAGTAAAATTAATGGTTGATGGGGCAGGGGCAGGAGCAGGGGAGGGGGAGGGGGAGGGGGAGGGGGATTCAGTCATTTCCTTCAACACCAAATGCCCGAAATCAGAAGCCATTGATTTCTTCCAAACAGATACGACCCTGATATCATCCCAAGTAACATTACTCATCAAAGTAACATTAAAGCTATCATTTTTATAAGTGCTTGTGTTGAGTTTTTCATCAGAGATAACAAACCCAGATGTTAAATTCTCATAATTATCACCAACAGCACCCCACCAATAAACATCAGACCCCCCAGAGAGCATATCGAATTTGCTAACCTTAAAAGAACAATCATCAATTATACTAAAATACCCTCTTAGCTGATGCTGAGACATAACGAACTGGCTTGTGAAATGAAGTAAAGACGTGTTGGTTTTGGGACAATTGTGGCTGGAATCCGGATCAGATACGGAGAATTCGAACAGGTATATGAGAAACCCCAATGAAATTATTAATAAAGATCGTACATTTCCCATTAAATCGATCAATATTATGAGATATGCAATGGATATTAAAGATTGCAGACAAACGAATAAGGGGGATAGAAAAACTGTTGTGGCATTGGCAGATTACCGGTAATGATCGCCGGCTATCGGTGACTGGGACGTTGGTCGTCGAGAGAGAATGGCAAATTGAAATTAGAGTTCGCCGTTAAGTTTTGTTTGTTTCCGGTACATTGTTTGCTTTTCATCCCTTATTTATGTAGTTTAGCCAAAATGTTCCCTTAAGATAATGATCTGTACTATATGCCCGCTCAATCTTAGGGAACTTCATATGCTAAACGTATGCGTTTTATAGGGGCAATGCTATAAAAGACCTTATGGTTTGGATAAAACAGTCATTTGAGATTCGTAAATTTTTCACCAAAACCAGTTAACAAAAAATTGACCGTTTTTAGCCGTTTAATGTTAGAAAAGGTAGAAAAGCCCTTACATTTTTGGTTTGGTTATATAACACACCATAAGTTGGAATGAAAGATGAGGGAGAGAATGATATGACACTAACATGGTAGTGAAAGATGAAAAGATTAGTATAAGACATGCTCTAATAATATAGTGGGTGAGAACACTTGTCTATGTTAGGGTATGAAGACTTGATCATTAAGCCGGAAAGAGAATTCTCCCTTTATCATGAGAATGCTCTATTGGTGGAAGAATGCTCCCTTGGTGGGAGAATACTCCCATAAAAAATGATGCTAAGTCTTGATTGCGCTAGAGCATTTGACTAATGTGTTGCCACGAATCATAAAGGCTTTGCTCGGAAGGAGAAAACGTTGTAGTGAAGGAGAAAGTGCCGTGAGGAAGGAAAAAGCAATGCAAGTAAGGAAAAAGTGTTGCCACTTAAAGAATGTGGTGGGCACTTGTAAAGATGTTGCCTTGTTGCTAAATGCTCCCTTAGTCTTGTAAAGGAGTTGCCTAGCTGTTGAATGCGCTCCAGTAGCCGGAGAATGTGGTGGTGGAATTGAGAAGGTGTTGTTGCGTCTTGAGAACGTACTCCTAGCTGCATGGCAGGTGGCCATACACATCCCTCAAGGTTAAAGATTCTTGAAGCATCTGCATGATGTCTTGTAACACTCGGAATTTAGGTATGTTACCTTTTAGCCCTTGGGATAAGATTATTTTTGCAAAGGGGGTCCCTCTGTACGATGGGCATACATATGCGTACGCTGGGCATACATATGCGTACGCTTTGCGTACTGGGGTGTTCTGGACGCGGGCTTGTACCACGTACGTTGGGCGTACTAAGGTGTACGTGGGGCGTACGTGGCCTTGCTTTGTTGGGCCAAGTATAGGAAGGGTAAAATAATCTTTTACCCATTGGTATGATAGATTATGAATCGGACCTTGGATTATGGAAAATTTTGTTAAATATTGATTAAGGATAATTTGGATGTGTTCGGCGCCCAGTAGCAGTAGCACGTGTGGTTCGGTTATCTCTAGAATAAGGTTATTTTGCTCACTATATTATAGGATACTAGGGTCGTATGTGCTTGTTGTCTTTGTGACTCTTGTTGTATGTATGTATGCCTGTTTGCTATATGTATGTGGGGTGAAATAGACCCGTACGGTTAAAAAATACCGATTGAGTTGAAATAGACTCGGGGGTGAAATAGACCTGATACATCCTTAAGCTGACATATATGTATGGTATGTGGTATTTTGGGGAACTCACAAAGCTTTATGCTTGCAGTTTCATATTTATGGTTTCAGGTACTTCCGGTTCGAAAGGGAATGGTCTGACATGAATGCACATCATCCACCAGAGTTTATTTCGCATTTGATTAATCGTGATTTTTAATCTGATGTTTAAATGCTATTTTTCACATCGAATGATTTTGGGAATGGAATGTTATATGAATTAGTGTTATTAAAATGAAAATTTTTACTTCGAATTTTTGGGACATTACAGTCACGTTGGCAGGAATCTTGTCTATTGCTTCTTGTATTCTTTCTTTATCATAAAGACTTTTAGTATTCTTCCTTATGTTGCTCCCATATACCCTCCTCGTATATAGAATCAATATATTTAAAAGTTGATAGCGTTTATTGAAAAAGAAAATGTTCTTATAATTAACTCAGCCTTTACGAATTGTCTGATACGTAAACAAAATTACTTAGTTAGAATGTGCTAGTGAATAACCAAACAACCCTTGAGAGTCCTCCCAGACTACTGTCATGATCATTTGGTGTTCATGGTTGAACAATATCAAACAAGAATACAGATCAAGTAAAGTGTTCAGATGGATTCTTAACAAAATTGCATAAGAATTGTTTTGCATATTGCAAACTCAATCTCGATGTTGAAACTCAATTGAATATACTTAATTATACAAACTTAAGTAAATGGGAATAAAACATGAACTATTTGTACAAGGAAAATCACATTATATACACACTTGGCCTAAAAATATAAATTGATTAATTGAAATTTCAAGAAAATCACATAATTTTCTTTTGCCTAGCATGTTGCATCCATACAAATCGGGGAGTTTTCTTGAAATCAATTCATTGCGATTCTTCAGTTCCTTCTCGTTTTGATCGTAATTCTTTAAATACACTCCGAACTTTTTTGTTATCTCTTATATTAGCAATTCAATAATTTTTTGTATCGCCTCAACTTGTCATCTCTCTGTAAAAGCCTTACTTGCGGATGACATGGTAGTATCTAGCACTTGTAATTCATAAGCCCCTTGCAGTAACAATAAGCAAGAAAAAAAATATTAAAGCATTAAAATTGGAGAAGCTAAAATCTTAGACATGACTTTCGATAAAAGAAATTCAAAGTTCAAATATCATGTTTTGACAAAAAGGTAAATACAAAATAAAGGGTCTTCTTTACATAGTTAAGGGCTTCATTCACATTGATAGTTATGTTTTTCAATTTAGCTATTGAAATCATATATTAAGATAAGTCAAAGAACAAGAATTTCATCAAACGAATATGATTATACGACAATCCATTTCATTGAGAAATTTTATCAAACATGTATGATGCACTCCAAGATACAAAAATTATGCAACACATATTTATGATTTACCTAGTACAATATATCATATAATGCAAATATGGTTCACATAATCTGCACAAGCAATGAAAAGCCGAAGTTATAATCAGATTTAATCTTATGGTTCTAACAATAGTGAAATCGAAGTTCAATGGAAAAAGGAAAGGAATCGTACATATTACCTCATGAATCAAACAATGATGAGGTTGAAGTTGAATAGAAGAGGAAAGGAATCACATATATAGCCTAGATAAATCGAAACAATATCACAAAATACTGAAGAGGAAGATAGAAATTACCGAAATGAAGAAGGGAAGACGAAGATAAATCTCGGAAAATTGGATGGGATGAAGGGAGAAGTTGGAGACGTACAAGGAAAATAGGGAATGAAATTGAGTTTTACTCCAAAGCTGTAACATCCCAAAAATACGGTCTGAAAATTTCGTTTTTTCAATTATTAATAAAACCATAGTTATCCAAAACACATGTCATAATAACTCAAATGTCATACCAATGTATATCAAAATATCAGAGTCTAAATATCAGCGGCCCAACAAATGGTGTGTGCACCACAATCATCCCGAGCTCTTCCCCTTGCTACCGGAAGTACCTGAAACTAAAACTGAAAACTGTAAGCACGAAGCTTAGTGAGTCTCCCCAAACTACCACATACCATACACATAATCGTGCTACTGAGAGATATGGGCCCCACCCATACTCTAAGAGATACGGGCCCCGCCCACACTCCGCTAACTAGGAGATACGAGCCCCATCCACACTCCACTGACTAGGAGATACGGGCCCCGCCCACACTCCGCTGATTAGGAGATACGGGCCCCGCCCACACTCAACTAATCATGAGATACGGGCCCCGCCCAGACTCGAATAATAATGAGATACGGGCCCCGCCCACACTCACATACATAAACAAACATATACAAGTATCACACAGACAATAAGTACACAACCTACCATTATACCAATGATCATACTCAAGTAATATTGAGATACGCCCCCCCTCCCCCCCCCTCCCCCCCCCCACACTCAGCTAATGATGAGATACGGGCCCCGCCCCCACTCGAATAATAATGAGATACGGGCCCCGCCCACACTTACATACATAAACCAAACACATACAAGTATCACACAGACAACAAGTATAGCAATCCAACAATCTGATTGATATCTATACTTTGATAATAATGAGATACGGGCCCCTCCCACACTTCGTGTTACTATCAAGAACATATAAACTACACGGGCCGGCATTGGTGCCTTAGACCCGTTCAATCCAGGAGGAAACTCACCTCGCACTGCTGAAGTCCCGCGAATAAATCTCGGGCTGCTGGTTGACAGATCCCCAAGTTGTCAACATCAAAACAAAACCCAATTAACCATTTGGGCTTCCTATGGATAACTCTAAAATTCCCACTTGGGGTAAAATGACCATTTTACCCCTAACCTAGATTGGTCCAAGATTAAGGCCCAAACTCATACTCTGAAGGCCCAAAAGTCAAATAATCAACCAGGGCCCAACTATGGCCCGATTTTCCAAATTAGGCCCAATCCTCTACACGGTCTTACCCTAAGGCCCAACCATTTATTCTGGTCCAAACACTTGGCAATCCAATGGTCCAGTATCTCATAATCATCAAGGCCCATCTATGGCCCAATTTTCCAAATTAGGCCCCAAACCTTTCCAATGGGCCTTATCCTAAAGCCCAATTCAATATTCTAGTCCATACTTGTTCTTGGATAGCCCATCAATAGTCCAAACATCTAGGCCCAACAGAAAAGGCCTAACTCAAAACCCAACACAATTAGGGTTTTCACATGAAATGACGATTAGGGTTAAGTGTTCTCACTTAACCCATTAAGGACTTAACCCATGGCGGCAGACGGCGCCAGAAAAGACGTAAACGGAGGCCCCATGGTCACCGACGACAGCTGTGATGATTTCCGATGTCACAG